ATAAATATATATATATATATATATATATTAGTGAAAGATGATTATTTTTTTTCAATAGTCATCAATGTTCTTATTTTATTTTACCAAAAACACATTACAAATTAATTTTATTTTAAAATTTTAAATTTTAAATAAAAATATTTTTGTTTGCCATTTTTTCTAAATTATTAGTACTTTATGTAATTATTTAATAATAGAATGATACGAGTATTAAAAGTAAATAATCAATCTCTATTGATTTGTTAAAAAAACAAAAAGGAAAAATAGTCAATCAGTCAAGTAAAAAGGAAGAAAGAGTATATTCCATGTGTGTTCTATAAATAAAGTTCTATTATTTAATTATGATTGACTGATATACATATTGCTTCATTAAATTATTTAATTATAATATATTTTCACACTCACTTTAAATACACTGGGTATGAATAAATAATAATCCATCACCGAATTCAAATGAAAAATATATGAAGTTAATTAAAGTAGGATAATTTACACAATTTAAAGTATTAATTTAGTATAAAAAAATAATTATCTTTTACCAAATCAAAATGAAAATGGAAAATATATGGAGGAAATTAGAGCACATTTGACAAGTTTTAATGTGTCACTTTGGAAAGTTCAATGGTCCCACTATGCTCAATAACATTTCACCTTAGGGCATCATTTGTAATTTAAGAGAAAAATGTGACCCTTTTTTAGAGTTATTGATAACGTCGAAATAAATAAACACAAAGCGTAACCCTCTTAAGCAAACAAATGTTGCAAATGTTTTAAAGATCATAATTAGAGCCGTCAATATGGGCTAGGCCCGTTGGGCCGGCCTGGCCTAACCCGGGATTTAACAGGGCTGGGCTAAGATTTTTAGAGCCCATTTAAGAAAAGGGCTTTTTAGCCCGGCCTGAATAAGCCTGTCGATTTGTGGGGCTTGAGAAATATAGGTAGGGCCGGCCCGTGGGCCAATAAAAATTAATTAAAAATATAATATAATATTAAAATTTAAAATTAAAGAGAGTCCAAACTCAAAATCTATTTAAAGTTTAATTCCCTAAAATCTTTAGGGAATCACTAATAGACCGTAGTTTATTTATTCACCATCCGCAGCCGTCTTCTCTAGTTCTCTTACTAGTTTGTTTTCTCTTGGTGGTAGTAGACTAGTAGTCCAAGTAATTTTCTAAGGAATCACTATTCAAGCTTATTCTCTGGTAAAAACAAGTAAGTTTACTTTTCCCTCTTTATTTTACAATTCTTTAATTTTGTTATATTTTTAATTTATTATTTTTTATTCGATGTTCATTCTATGTGCTCGATGTACCCTAAACGCATAAACAAATTCAAAATTTGACATTATAAGCTCTTACAATAATCTAAGTTAATATTGCAATAGCAATTGCATTTATAGTCAAACATAATTTGTTACGTAAAAATTATTTGATACATATAGACTAGATCTATCACTATCTAAATGACTAAATGATGTGAATTTTTTTTTTTTATGAATTTTTTTTTATTATCTTTTTTTTTTATGTTATCATAGGAAAATAGAAAAATTAATGGATGACACAAATATTATACGTGAAGATAGTGGTGAGGAAACTGAGCCGGTAGAACCAAAGCAAAAAAAAACCAAACCAACAACATCAGATGTGTGGAAATATTTCACAAACATTGGCAAAGGGGAAGATGGAATTGAAAGAGAAAAATGTACTGGCTGTAAAATTGCAATTTTTAAAGTTGGTACAACTCCCAAAGGTACAAATTATGGGACATCACATTTACGTCGTCATAAGGAGGTATGCCCAATGCTTAAATTTCATAATCTGGGTCATATGTTCATTAATCAAGAAGGCAAATTACAGTCTAGAAAAGTTGATCAACAAATACAACGTGAAATGCTTGCAGAAGCTATTATTAAGCATAATTTGTCGTATTCTTTTGTTGAATATGATGGAATTAGGAATTGGATAAATTATATAAGTCCAGATGTTGTGATGCCTTGTAGAAACACAGAAGTTGCAGATATAAGAAAAATGTATATTAGAGAGAAGGAGAAATTGAAACAAGAATTGGCTAAAATTTCTAATAGAGTATGTTTGGCTTCTGATTGTTGGACATCATCTACTTCTGAGGGATACATTTGTTTAACAGCTCAATTTGTTGATGAAAATTGGAGGTTGAATTGTAAAATTCTAAACTTTTGTCGTATGTATCCTCCTCACACTGGAGTTGAAATGGCTGCTGTTATATACGACTGCTTGAAAGAATGGAATATAGAAAAGAAGGTATTTTCTATTACTTTGGATAATGCTACTGCCAATGATAGTTTGCAAACTATTTTAAAAGGGCATCTTAATTTGCAAAATAGTTTGGTGTGTGATGGTGAGTTCTTTCATGTGCGTTGTTCTGCTCATATTTTGAATTTGATTGTTCAAGAAGGGTTAAAGGCAGCTATTGATTCCTTGATTGCAATTAGGGAAAGTGTTAAGCATGTTAGAGGATCAGATGGGAGAATGCAAAAGTTTGAGCAATGTGTTAAGCAAGTTGGAATTGAAACTAATCTTGGTTTACGTTTAGATGTAGTAACTAGATGGAACTCAACATATTTGATGCTTGAAAGTGCTCTCCCATATGAAAAAGTTTTTTCTAGTCTACATTTACATGATAGAAATTATACACACTATCCTACATTTGATCAATGGAGAAGGGCTGAAAAAATATGTGAAGTCTTGGAGCCATTTCATGAGATAACAAATTTGATTTCTGGTTCAAGTTATCCAAATTTTATGCAAATTTGGAGAATTGAATGCATGCTGAAAGAGAAGTTGAATAATGAAGATAAAGTTATTAAGGATATGGCTTCAAAGATGCATGAGAAGTTCGAAAAATACTGGAAGCAATATAGTGTAGTACTTGCATTTGGAGCAATTCTTGATCCCCGCATGAAATTACAATTTTTAAGTTTTTGTTATTCTAAGTTGGATTCTATTTCCACACAAAAAAAGATCTCACTTGTGAAGAATAAATTGTATGAGCTTTTCGATCATTATACAAACAAGCAAAATGTTGTTAGTGCTTCTTCAACTATTCGGACTACACCAAGTGAAGCTAGGAGGAAACCCAAAGGATTCAAAGTATTTAATGTAAGTAATTTTCATCTTGTTAAAAATTGAATATATTTCTAACTATATCAAATATTTTTTCTTTGTGTATTACTGTCTTTACTATTCTTACATGTATTAACTATTTTCATGTTTTTAACTTCATAGGAATTTAAAGCATTTGAGAATGAAACTGTTTCTAGCATATATATATATAGCAGCCAACAAGTGTAGACAATGCATTGCAAATTCCTGAATTTGAGGCTTCCATGGAGGAGGAGATCAATATGATTAACAAGAATAATACATTGGTACATGTACCTAGTCCTCCTCACAAGAAGGTTTTTGGAATTAGATGGGTGTTCAAGATTAAGTTAAATTCAGATAGCACACACCACAAGTACAAAGCAAGGCTAGTTGTAGAGGGTATACACAACATCATGGAATTGCTTTTCATGAAACCTTTGCACTAGTTGCCAGGTTTGATACCATCAAATTTCTTCTTGCAGTTGCAGCACACCAAGGGTGACAAGTATTTCAATTGGACGTTAAGTACACCTTTCTTAATGAATATCTTGAAGAGAAAGTTTATGTAGAGCATTCTGTGAGTTTTAGAGGAGCGCGAGACATATATCTGTTAAGAAAAGTTCTGTATGGCTTAAAACAAGCACCTAAGGCCTTGTATGCACGGATCCATAGCTACTTACTTAATTTGGGGTTCAAGATAAGTTACAATGAAATAAATGCCCTATAGAAACAAAGATTTGAGCATCTTAGAGCGAAGTTTGGAGTATACAAAAAGTGATGTCTTCATATTTTGTTGGAGCTTTTGGATTGTTTTGTTGTAAAGTTCTAGAATTCAGAAGATAGCTGTAATTTTGTGGTAAGTTTTATTCTAGCTTTAATATAAGAAAGCACGTTTCAGGATTTAAGGGATTTGACAAACCACTTTATGTATGTTTATACGGTGTAAAATTTTATTGTATGAACAATTAATCAACTCCACTTTATTCACATTTCCTCTCTTTTCATGTTTGTTTTCTCTTTCCCTCCTTCAATACTTCATCTTCTAAGACCAAAATCGTGTGCAAGCCATAACGTACTTTATATGGGTTAAAACAATCATATCGAGCATGGTTTGGTGGATTAATTAACTTAAAATATGAAGAAGTATGGCTTCCAACAAAGTAATTTATATGATACTTTATTCCTAAAACACAATTTAATAATAAAAAATGAAAATGCTAACCATATACGTAGATAACATGATTCCTAAATTTTGTCCTAAAAACTGGATTTTTCAACGTGCATCTTGTTTAACAAATGGAGAAGCAAGCAAGTACAAACTGTTTTTCCTTGATGCAACATTACCAAAGTTGACAGTCATATCCAGTTGTTGAGGACTAACTCCATTCACAAGTTTCCAATCAAAATGGCAAAGTAACTGAGCTAGACATAACTCCATGCTTGCCATACTAAAGTTTATGCCTGGACAAATTCTTCTACCAGCTCCAAATGGTATGAATTGAAAATGATTTCCACTAACATCAAGTGGATTTTCATTGAATCTCTCTGGCTCAAATTTTTCAGCTTCTTCCCAATATTCTGAATCCCTCCCAAGTGCCCACATATTCACAATACCTATTATATGCCAAGTGCACCAATTAGTTGGGATTAAAATGGTAAACTGACTATATCTGTTATTATTTTCTTAATTGATGTGTCAAGTCAAAAATGGACAAATAATATATGTATAGAGGGAGTATTAATTAGGATATAATTTTAACTATTTTATACTATACTTGGTATTTGAATGATTCTCTCTTTGTTCACTTTTACTTGTACCCTATTAAAAAAATAATGATTGACATGACTATTTTTATAACATTACACTATCAATTAATGTTTAGTATTAAATTTTAAAAAATGATTTAAAAATAAGTAATTAATACCAAGAGTAAAACATGGAAAAAAATAGTAAAAATGACAGAGACAGAGACAATGATAACATAACCTCATAATTAATGTGTTTTGTACTCATAAAAAAAATTATTACTCAGAAATAAATGGGAAAATATCAATTTTGTTTTGCACTTCAAAACGAAAAGTAATTTGAGATAAGTATATAAAGAAAGTATAGGAGCATGTTACCTATTGTTTTATTTGGTATAGTGTATCCATTAATGTGGCATTGTTGTCTGGATTCTCTTGGAATTGATAAGGGTCCTGGAGGGTGAAATCTTAGAGTTTCTTTAATAACCATTTTGAGGTATTTTAGTTTTTTAAGATCTGTTTGATCAATTGTTGTCTTTCCATTGAAGGCTTCTCTAACTTCAGCTTGTGCTTTTTCCATCATGCTTGGATTCTTCAACAGTTCTGACATAGCCCACTCTAATACTGTTGATGATGTTGCACTTCCAGCCACAAACATGTCCTGCACATCACACACATAATCCAACCACCTAAAAAATACATCTAAAGATTCAAGATGCTAATTTGAATGAGTATCCAACTTTTAATTTATTATATTACACTCGTATGTAAGAATTTTCATAACTCAAAATACTTTCTTTGTTTAAAAAAGAATGACCTTATTTCTTTTTACGAAAAAGGGTCAAAATTGCCCTTGAACTATGCAAAATAGATCACTTATACCCTTCGTTATATTTTGGAATCAAAAATACCTCCGTCGTTATTCTAAGAGACCACAAATACCCTCAAAAGTTAACACCTCAAATTTTAAATGACGTGGCGAGTCACATGGGACTACTCCCTCCACCTAAGATGCCAACTAGGATTCCCACTAACCCATCAATTCATCCTCCCAAATCAAATCCTAATTTTGAGAGAAAAAATAAATCTTTTCCATTAAAGTTTCAAGCAATGGTTTTTTTAGTTTAGTTTTCAATAGGTTTCCATTAAATTTTATTTGTTCAACAGGTTTTTAGTTTTGAAGATAGTTTCCAAGCAATGGGTTTTTTAGTTTAGTTTTCAAGCAATGGGCAAGATGAATAAGGTTCTACCCGGTCGAAATTGATACGGATGAGAGACCAAGAAGGTATTGATACTCTGTTGCGGATCTGGTCACCTGGTCCGCGTTAAGCTCTACAAAGTCAATAACAACGGATTAGGCCCGCTGGATGATTTAAAAGGGATCGAGATAGGTCACTACGAGAGGCTGCCGGTGACAGTCGTCGGAGACGATGCCAACGGAGACGTATTTCGCGCATAGGAGGTTTGGAAAAGGGATGTGGAAGAGGAGTGAAGAAGTAGGGATTGAGGAGTTTAGTATGGAATTAGGGAAGAACTATGAGAGGAAAGAAGAGAGGCCTTCCAATCATGATTTTCTTCAAGATATCATAAATTTTTATCTCCAATGGTGATTGAGATTGGGATTTTTAAAATTTTTCTTAATTCTTTTATTATTCGATTTTACTATTACCTGATAGTTTTTAAGCAATGGGTATGATCATGTTTATGCATCAAATCTGGAGAAGGAGCCTTATTCTAAAACCAAGTTAGCTAAAAATAGACGGGAACAAAATTACATTAATTCTTATTACAAGTTACAACAAACAAAATCTTTATTTTCAGATGGGAGATTAAACAATTTAGTTAAATTGTTTTGGTTTTAGAGGTGTAATGTTTTGACTTTTTTGATGCAATTAAATTATCACTTACTGAATTGTATTCAAGAAGAAAAAAAAAAAGTCTCACTGATGGTAATCACGTGGCACCAAGATGGCCCACCTACTTTTATACACTCCTCTTTCATTATATTTTAATTTTTTCCTTTTTAAATAGTACTAAAAAATAAATTTAAAATATTACAAATTCGGTTAACTCTCGAAATTTTACGCGAACTGTATAATTAGGACGAAGGGAATAACATATATTATTTGAAAAATTACATTAAGAATATCATAAATCACAATAGATAACGACTTACAATATTTGAAAAACATATTAACTCTCAAAATTTCACATGTGTCACATAAATTGGGACAAATGGAGTAACATATATTATTTGAAATTACGTTAAGAATATTATTAATCACAACTTAAAGTATTTAAAAATAGATAACATATATTATTTCAAGTTTCTCTATTTACAAATAGAGGAACTAAGTTTCTTTTATTGAGAGCACACTTCATTGGCCTGTCACAAAGTTGGTCCACCTACTTTTATACACTCCTCTTTCATTATATTTGAATTTTTCCTTTTTAAATAGTACTAAAAATAAATTTTAAATATTACAAATTCGGTTAACACTCGAAATTTTACGCAAACTGTATAATTAGGACGAAGGGAATAACATATATTATTTGAAAAATTACATTAAGAATACCATAAGCCACAATAGTTAACAACTTACAATATTTGAAAAACATATTGACTCTCAAAATTTCACATGTGTCACATAAATTGGGACATATGGAGTAACATATATTATTTAAAATTACGTTAATAATATTATTAATCACAACTTAAAGTATTTAAAAATAGATAACATATATTATTTCAAGTTTCTCTATTTACAAATAGAGGAACTAAGTTTCTTTTATTGAGAGCACACTTCATTGGCCTATCACAAAGCTGGCCCACCTAATTTTATACACTCCTCTTTCATTATATTTTAATTTTTTCCTTTTTAAATAGTACTAAAAATAAATTTTAAATATTACAAATTCGGTTAACACTCGAAATTTTACGCAAACTGTATAATTAGGACGAAGGGAATAACATATATTATTTGAAAAATTACATTAAGAATACCATAAGCCACAATAGTTAACAACTTACAATATTTGAAAAACATATTGACTCTCAAAATTTCACATGTGTCACATAAATTGGGACAAATGGAGTAACATATATTATTTGAAATTACGTTAAGAATATTATTAATCACAACTTAGAGTATTTAAAAATAAATAACATATATTATTTCAAGTTTCTCTATTTACAAATAGAGGAACTAAGTTTCTTTTATTGAGAGCACACTTCATTGGCCTATCACAAAGCTGGCCCACCTAATTTTATACACTCCTCTTTCATTATATTTTAGTTTTTTGCTTTTTAAATAGTAATAAAAAATAAATTAAAAATATTACAAATTCGATTAACTCTCGAAATTTTACGCGAACTGTATAATTAGGACGAAGGGAATAACATATATTATTTGAAAAATTACATTAAGAATACCATAAACCACAATAGTTAGCAACTTACAATATTTGAAAAACATAAACTCTCAAAATTTCACATGTGTCACATAAATTGGGACAAATGGAGTAACATATATTATTTGAAATTACGTTAAGAATATTATTAATCACAACTTAGAGTATTTAAAAATAAATAACATATATTATTTCAAGTTTCTCTATTTACAAATAGAGGAACTAAGTTTCTTTTATTGAGAGCACAATTCATTGGCCTATCACAAAGCTGACCCACCTAATTTTATAC